CCGGGTCTACGAATAAAATCCATTTTATAGTCAAGAAAATATTTCGCTGAACGAATTAGCAAATATTTGTAATGTGTCTAGCATTTCAGCGAAGGCTCGAACACAGAAGCGAGCACAATTTATGTGATTATGACATGCTTACTTTATATGGACATTTTCTAAGAGATTCGTTGTTTGTAAATTCCTTTAATAATTCCTAAAGGGCTCACTTGTCTGACGTAGTCAGCCCACGCCCACGAAATTCCTCGTGGCAAGGAGTGCACCATTACGCCTGTCGTTTGCGACAGCCTTGAACATCTTACAGGTTATAAGGCATTTCTCCCACCTTCTTAGCGTGCCTTCGTGGTGTAGTGGTCTGCATGCTCGGCGCGTATTCCAGAGGTCGGTGGTTCGATTCCCGGCGTAGGCGTTGCTCATTTTTCATGTTGCCTGCACCCAAAAATACCTGATATCTACAAGGTGCCAGCACGATTTGGCTCAGTTCCGCCCCCCAATTTTGATGGTAAGCAGCCCGGGGGGAACGAGTCCGAGGGTTTCCCACCTCTCTCCCCTTCCATCAAACCACACTAGAGGACTTTAGGCTCGTCGCATATTTAGAGTGCCGCCATAAAGTACCGACATTATACACTTACAAAAATCCATGCCTTCGAACCGGGCACTTCGGCACGGCAGTTAGCGACGCTACCCACTATATCGGTTGGACGAACTAAGAGATTCTTGTTAGCTATAAGGAATCTGATGATGAAGTTTCCGACATGGAAGTAAATTACGCTTAAAATGATGTATTTCTAGAGGATAAACAATGTAACGTGCAACATGTATACCGTATGTTTGTATCAATTAGTTTTAGTGATTTAGATAATGTAAATGTCCCGTTCATGATACTCTGCATTGTTTTGAGGATAAGTGGTTGGATGACATTAAAGATACTTCTAAACCGTTGGAAAGAAATGGTTCATAGAAATAAATATTTGGTAAAAGGTTCCTAATACCTAAAGTTAAATACTTTATTCAAATCCAATGAAAAGAGCATTGATGTAACATTTTGAAGACATTTTTCTGAAGCAAATTTGACATTCATTATAATTTTGCTCAATTTTATGACTTAATAACCAAATATAAAATGAAAACAAACGAAACTCTGTTTAAAAACGTTTTATATTAAACGGACTTTGTGCTAAAGGTATATGGAAGACGCATCTTTAATACGATGCAAAATTAATGGAATAAGAAGTACAGCACAAGATACAGTTAGTTTGGTTCTTCCTTATAAAATACTGCCCCATTTCTGTACATGGCACGAAAATTATCTTTAAATCGCAAATATTTTTAAACCATTTTCAAATTCCCGTCAACACGAAAGACGATCATTGATAATTTGGTTGTGAAGAGGAGAGCTCCCGGTAAATCACATTTTCTCGTGTTTTCTTTTTTCCATACAAATATTAACAATTTAGGATCGCTCATAATTCTGTAATTCTTTCGTCAAAAGACCAGCTTCGAGTATTCCACATGTTAAATTAAAAAAAAAATAATAATAAAAATATAAAAAATCATTTATCATATTAATATTATTTTTCATTAAATTATTGTAAATAAAAAAGGCTGAAAGCTTTCAGATTTTACATTATCTCCAAAAGAGCAAATAAATTTTGTTTAGTAAGAAAGACAAATTAATTGGATATCATGCAACAATACATCTTATTTAACAGAACCGACAAAGCCTTAACAGAAGATTTAACTTTAAAAAAAAAGAGAATCTGATCTTTATATTACCAAAACGTTAGAAAACGCCCAAAATGGCGTTTTCTAACGTTTTGGGCGCCGTTTGACGCCCAAAATGGCGTTTTCTAACGTTTTGTGTGTTACCATTATTTGTTTAATTAAACGCTCTTTGCATTTAAACCAAATAAAATTCATTTCAACTGCAATATCACAATATATTTAAAAACAGGAAAATAGCATATATTTAGAATTTACGATATAGAGGAGAAACTCTCTGGAACAATTTTTTTCGTACAGTGTTGCCATTGCTCGCTTCGAAATCTTTGCGTTTGCTAATCAAAAATTCGTTTAAAGTTTTACAAAATGTTAAATAGATAATAAAACAAACCCGAAATTCAAAATTTGGGCTTCCGAGTGATCACGTTTGGTTGGAGGACTACGTTATTCAAAACTGGATTACTCTAGGTGCCGTAGGTTTTTCACAATGCGAGAAACATTTTTACAGATTCTTCATTATTTAGTTTCTTTAAATAAAATACATGGTAATCCTATTTCCTAGCAACTGTTTGAATCGAGGCAAAATGCCGTTCTGAAATTAACAGTCCTTTTCGGCTAGAAAGAAAGAAAGGAGGAAATGAAAATTAATAAAATTTAAAACTTTATTTACAAAGAAGCAACGAAGATGCTATATTTTTCCACCAAGGAAACTCAATTTACATCGTCTTCGAATATTCGAAGCTGGCTATTAGCAGTATACAATATAGAATATTCCAATAGCACTGAATGTGAAATGTGATGAATAGCAAGCGAAGAAAGATCATACATTTTGAAAACTAGATCAGTGTTTTCATAATACAGTACAATGCCTTTTATCCGGCAGCAATGGATATTCTTGGATTCCGGATAAGAAATGTAATAGGATAATTGGAAATAAGATTTTATAAGGTGTTTTGTGATGGCCATGACAGCATGCGAAGTGAGTCGGTCATGCTTTTATTTATCCACGGGACACAAATAAATAACAGTGAAAACCTTACAGGTCGATTAAAATACATATATGATTTTAAATTCATAAAAAGCAAAATCAAATAAAAGTAAAAAAAAGATAGAGATATTTGCTTATTTTAAGCAGGAGATGTGAAAAATGTGCAATGCCCTAGCCGGAACTCGAACCTCGACCTCTCGAATACACGCCGAGCGTGCTACGGTTACACCAGGAAGGCATACAGAAAGGAGGGAGAAAATACCTTATATTCATTAATGGGTATGTGTTGCTATTTAACCCTTTCCGGCACGCTACCTCTCAAAGTCGGGGTTTTGATAAAAAAAAAAAAAATAAATAAAAAAAAAAAAAAAAAAAAAGAGTAGGCAGTCTAATTAGGCCTAGAGGAGTACACAAGTAAAATTTTGTGAAGGTAGCAGTTATAGTTTTAATTCTGTGGGTATGCCCAAAGTGGCCCACTGATATAATAGAGCTTCGAAAAGAGTGCTGAAACGAGCCTTGTTGTCAATGAAGTGACCGATGAGATGCAGAGAACAAGCAATACAGAATCTTAATTGTCCTAGATTATCGGTGAACTCGATCTGGGCACACCTAGGGTTCGCCGTTTTGATTTTAGACAAGATTTCAAAGTAAAAATTTAAAACTAATATAGAATAAGGAGATTAGCACAAAGCCAAAAAATTACATAGAGATTTCGTTTCAAACAATTCCTTTTATAGCGTAAAAAAAACTGGAAGATTTCTTTGAAAAATGAGGGTCTTAAAAAACTAAACACGGCTAAAATATATGGACTGGTTTGTGTTGAGCTGCCATCTACTATAAATAAAGAAGATTCAGAGTAACCTATAATAACCTATAAATCCTTTTTTATTCAATTTTTCTGTGCGTACAGAAGGAAATTTTTAGGTGTGTCCAGACTGGACATACTGCAAAGGATTGACTGATAACGACAAAACACAAGATGGCTCAAAATCAATTTGAAATAAGCATGCTAGCTTTTGAATATTTAAATATTTGCAGTGATGGCACCCACAGATTTCAAAATTTAATATATTTATTATTAAAAGCTAAAAGCTTTCAATAAATATTTGAAATAAATGTCATTCATTCTTTCACAAGAATTTCAAGTTCCATTCTTATAAAAAGAGTTCACTCAATAAATAATTCCTAAAGGGTGTAACAGAATAAGACAGTACTTCTACTTTGAAACTTTTTGAGAATAGCTCAGATATAGTACATGCTTTTCTTTACGGGAAATACAATTTTTCTTCTGCATGTAACCTTTTATAACTGTCATTCATATGAAGGATATATCTTTTCTAGAATCTACTGAACTACTAGAAATCTACTGAACAAAGTACGTCCAAGAACTTTCCAGGGATATAACCTTTTCATTTGTATGGACGCAATTGTCGATCTATTTGCAGTAGCTACCTAACCCGCGAGTACACGCAACGGGTATGTCATACCCATGCGCATTTTTCTTTTTGTATATTTCTCACCCCATTCTTTCATAAAAGGACGAAACTTGGTGTAGCTGAGTTCAAGGTCACATACTTAAATGGGAGAAATTCCTGGGGTGACAAGTGCAACGGTTTTTTAGGAACAGCATTGTTCGGGCATGTCATACCCGCGCGTGTACTCGCGTTTCTCAGTGAGTCGCTTCGCACTTCTCGTTTTCAAGCTTTTAGTATAGGTTTTTCTTGAGTTGTAAGCATGGCATCGTATATTCCTTACGATGAAGAGATGAAAAGATTGAGAAATCTTCTTGAAACAGTTTCTTCTGATGAGGATTAAATTAATGAAGATGATGAAGATGTTGATGACGAAGAATATAATAGTAATCATGATTCATCCATAGAGAGTAGTGATTCAGATACAGAAACAAAAAACTTTGGAATGTAGCAATGAGTTTTATGTTGGAAAGAATGGAGTAAAATGGAACAAAAATAAATTCCGGACTAATGTTAGAATTGGCGCCAAAAATATTATAACTAAACTCCCTGGAAATACGAAGTATTCTAAAGACGTCTCAACACCTTTAGATTCCTGGTCACTGCTTATCGATGAAGCTATGTTAAAACATGTAGTCGACAATACAAATTTATATTGATTCAGTATTGATTGTACGTGGAAATTTCACTCGTAAACTGGATGCGAAATCAACAAATGAATTGGAAATCAAAGCTTTAATTGGATTGCTGTATTTATGTGGAGTTTATAAATCATCCATGTGAACGTAAGAGATTTGTGGGCAACAGACGGAACGGGAATGGACATATTTCGGGAAACAATGTCAGTGAACCGATTCCTCTTTCTTTTACGATGCCTCCGTTTTGATGACATTAGAGATCGTCCCAGTAGAAGAGACGTTGATAAATTAGCTCCGATCAGAGAATTTTTTGGAAATTTTGTCACAAATTGCCAAAAGGCTTATACTGTTAGGAGAGTATGTGATCCATTGATGAGAAGTTGGAATCATTCAGAGGTCGTTGTTCCTTCAAACAATAATATGCCCAACAAGCCAGCAAAGTATGGCATAAAAATATTTGCTCTTGTAGACGCAAGGGTATTTTATACCTGGAGTATGGAAATTTATGCTGATAAACAACCAGATGGGCCATTTCAAGTTGAAAATGGTGCAAGCGAAGTTGTCAAACGTTTAATAAGGCCCTTATACAACTCTGGTCGAAATTTAACAGTTGATAATTGGTATATGGGATATGAATTATCTCAAGATCTCCTAAAGAAGAAAATTACGATAGTAGGTACAATGCGTAAAAATAAGAGAGAAATCCCACCTGAGTTTCTGGCAAAGGAAAGAGAAGTATATTCTTCAATTTTCGGTTTTCAGAAAGAAGCAACACTTGTATCTTATGTGCCGAAAAAAAATAAGAGTGTGATCCTGTTATTCACAATGCATTCCGGCGATCAAATCGATGAATCTACTGGGGAATCTAAAAAGCCTGAAATCATTACATTCTATAACATGACAAAAGGAGCAGTCGATGTTGTAGATGAGATGGCAGCTGCGTATTCTACAGCAAGAGTAGCACGTCGATGGCCTATGGTGATTTTCTTTTCAGTGTTAAACGTGGCTGCCATTAATGCAAGAATAATTCTACTATCAAAGAAGGAACCACCAACGGAATACCATACCAGGCGTACTTTTCTCAAAGCCTTAGGGATGCAGCTTAATAGAAAGTGTTCAAAATGAACGACGACGAGCATCTGTAGTTCCTGATTCTAGACAAACACTGACCACCGATGAACATGTTAACAATGAAACCACCCCCCCCCCGAAAAAAAAAAAAAAAAAAAAAAAAAAAAAAAAAAAAAAAACTAAACTTACAAGAGGTGTACAGAGTGCCCCAAGAAAAAAGATAGAAAGACTAGATTCATTTGTGAAAATTGTAGCAAAAGTACGAGTATATGTATGGAACATATGACCTCATTTTGTAAACAATGTTAAAAAAATTGTAAGTAAATAATTTTACCTCTCCTTATTCTTTCATTTGTCTAAAATAAAGTATTAACTTGGTTTTACATTTTAATTTCTTTTAAAAACAGATTAATTTTATTTGGCAAATTTTTAATTACAAACTTTTTATTCGGGTATGACATACCCGGCGCGTGTTCTCGTGTTCGTCGGATCGGTGCGTGTGCTCGCGGGCTAATATTGTTTTGGAAAATTGTCGGATGTAGATACCACATGATTTCCTTGTACGACTTCCTATGAAATTATACGCATTTTGTGATGCATTACAAAATTATTTCCTAGAGCTTTATTAAAGATACTTTCGCGTGCGTACGGGTTCGTTATGAAATGAATGCACAAGTCCGATAAAAAATTAATAAAATTTATTATTATCACTGTAGAGTACCTCACTTTGGAATTCTAAGTTAATGTTGGAAGTGAGGAGTCTAAGAACTAATAAGCGAATAATCGCTTGCGTTCGGTGACAAGAAACAACAAGATAGAAGGGTAACTAACCCTTTATTATTCTAATAAGATTTAACAAACTCCGCCTGGGAGTGTACAAGCAAAGCCCGCACTTGGACTTGAACTAAAAAGACTAAGAATTAAAATAAAACTAAGATTAACTAAAAAGAAGTATAGCCGAAGCTATCAAGGTTCAATTTGAGTTGGCCCCTTAACTTATTTTACTACGAAGCTTAGCAAGGGCCTGAGTACGGCTGAGCGTAATAACATCTTTGAGGGAGAGAGTGGCCAAAAAGGCAGACGCGCGTAAATCAGAAACTCTGATTCTCTCTGACTCAGTAACTTCGTGGTTTAAATATCGCTCCTCCTCATTAAATATTAAGCAAGATTCCAAAAGTATGTTCTGGCCGGAAGTAGTAAGTTGAAGTTAAGAATTTGACAGGAAAGGAACTTTAACTTAAAATTTAACTGTTAATAAAATTAACATAATCCTTACATCACACCAAATAAAACATTAATGCTTACATTTCCTCAGATTATTCGTACAATACCTCTAGTTATCTTTTAAACTACTAAAAGCGTTCAAGAGAACTAATTCAAAATAGAGAAAAGCTAATACGATTTTACCGCGAATTCGCAACAGTAAAGAACAGCAATTTTCCAAACAAAACTGAGCTGAGGTGTTCTTTCTCTGGCTTTTATAGCTTTTTAAATCGGCCGCACGATATTGTTCTAGCAATTTCTCGAAATCAAAAAGATATATTTATTTATTAAATGTTAAATGCACGTACTCTTGTATTTTTAATTTCCCGGCTTGGCTTCCTCTTAATATTCGTCTCGCGCTGCACTGCACGGGGAATAAGACAATTTAATTTATAATTCTATTAAAATTAGCTATTTAAATACCAAATCCGTAACAATATTTCTCATTCTGTTATTTCAGTTCTCACTTCGTGCCAAGGCTAAAGTACATAAAACTTCAAAATATCTTTATTGATAATTGAAAAATATAGAAATATGTAAAACACAATATACAGTTAAAAATAGTTAAAAACGATTATGCAATAAAAATAAGAAAATATATGTGAAAACAAGCAATTCGGCCGACGTGCAAGAAGACAGATTTTTCGGTGCACACAACTAGAAGTTTACTTTTGGTTCCACTCGGCAGAAAGACACTGAAGTTGGTGTACAGACTGACTTAATTCACTGTTCTACTAGGAGTTTCAAATATAAACAAGCGGCGCCCTCGTTAGGCTTACCAGCGCCACTTTTAAGTTGTTGGTAATTCTACAACTATTGCATTCAAATCCATTTTTCCATGCATCATACTTTTAGAATAACATGTTCATCTTTTCATCTTATAAAAAGAATCCATTATTCAAAACTGAAATTTAGTAGTGAGGTTCTTCACATTAATTACATTCGAATGCACTTCACTAAAGGTTCCTCATGCTAATTGCATTCGCATACACTACACAGAAAAATATCACACGAGACATTACGTAATTTTTTAGAGCAGGAGATATAAAAGATGAGCAATGCCCTCGCTGGGACTCGAACCACGGACCTCTCGAAAACGCGCCGAGTGTGCCGGCCATTACACCACGAAGACATGCTAAGAAGACGGAAGAAATAACGTATACACTAAATAATAAAGTACATAATATAAATACAGTAGCATATGTAAGCAATTTCCCACTTAGCTATCTTCCCACTTAGCTATTCTATGTTTAATCATTTTATTGTCGTATCGTCTGTGACCAGGATAAACCAAGCTAATCCCTTAGCATTTTGGGTAATAACGCCTTCAAGTAAAATTTTACCTAACATACAAAAGTATTAAAAGCAATATCATTTTAGGCCCACCACCTGCCGAGCGGTAAAAAGTCGCCGAACACTGGTAATTATCGACAGGGGTTGGATTGGTTGGCTGCATGGGCGTTTTTGTAGTCTTCCTCATGTGTAACGTACATGCGAGACAATTTTCCTTAGAAAGTCCTTCACTAAGGCATCCTTCCCGCTAAGTAGATAGTCGTAATATGCTCTGCTATAATCTCAATAAACCAAACCAAAGCAATCATTTTACAAATTTTTGAGAACGCACGTTTTTCGAGCGTAGTCCGTAGGCTCTCTGCAACCATTGGTTTTCTGCCAAATGGCTCCATCTATTGGCGTGAAGTACTGGGATGGCGGTGGAAACGAAAAGACGAATTTACTGGTGATGACGCTATAAGGTGTTTCTCCCGCCTTCTTAGCCTGCCTTCGTAGTGTGATGGTTTGCACACTGGGGGCGTATTCCAGAAATCCGTGGTTCGATTCCCGGCCAAGGCGTTGCTCATTTTTCACTTCTCCTCCTTCCGCCCCCCAAAAAAATACCTAATGTTTCTGCAAGTGGTGCCCGAACAAAAAAGGTGGTGGATGATGATTCTTCACACCCAGAATTTGGCGACTCGGTGCGATAAAAAAATCCCAGTCAGCCTTTAAAAGGGTGGAATATATAAGGTATTTCTCCCGCCTTCTTAGCGTGCCTTCGTGGTGTGGTGATCTGCACGCTAGTCGCGTATTACAGAGGTCCGTGGTTCAATTCCCGGGGAAGGAATTGCTCATTTTTCATCTTTCCCGCTTCCAAAGTACCTAATGTGTCTACACCCTTTAAAGGTATACATAATACCTTGATCTAATGGCTGGAGTAACAAAGTAGTGTTAGCTAGTAGGAACAATATTTTGACGTTGGAATGATTCAAATCTTGTGTTTGACATGGAGGTGCCTGTGCTGACATGGAGGTTTGACATAGAGGACATTATCTAACAGCAATAGCGCCGTCAAGCTCAAATGTTTATGCCTTAAATAACGTTCAATGTCTGTCACAAAACAACTTATAAACCATTCTTTAAATAAATTTGCAGTTAGCCAAGCAGTGAGGGTGGGCAGAATTTCTCTGACGGATACATGAGTCAGATTGTTTTTTTTTTGGGGGGGGGGAGGCTTTGCAAATCTGGCTTATATTTCGGCCACCGTCTTCAAAGTGAATTATGTTGGTGCTTTGCTCAATATGGAAAAACTTCCTCCGGACTTTTGTTTAATTCCTTGGGATTGCTTGGGCAATTTTCTGATCGTGTTAGAGCAAAACCATGTTATAGGATGACGTGTTGTAGGAGGGTTTTCGCAATTTATGATTCGTGTAATGATTATGACATGTATGGTTTATGGCGTGTATGATTCGTCTCAATTTATGATTAAGACGGCATCCTGTAACACGCAAAACCGTGTTACAGGATGCCGTCTTGTAGGAGGGCTACCTGTACCACCTATAACCAATGGTAGGCTAAAATATTATAACTTAGAGATTTATTTTCTAGTAAATTGCTGTTTCTGTCAGTGAAAAAGTAGTGTATTAAGACTGCATTGCAAAACTTGCACAGAAAAAAAATGTAAATCTGAAAGGTTTCAGATTTTAAATTACGTCTAAAGGGACCTTTAATTAACATTTTGTGTGTTACCTTTGTTTATTAAATATCATGTTCTTTGTACTTAAACCATAAAATTCAGTTCAAGAACAATATACCATTTTTAAATTGAGCTTATCTTTAAAATTTCCGATACACACTTCCGCGCGCTGGAGATAAAAATTTTTTTTTTTTTTTTTTTTTTTTTTTTTCCTGTAGAGCATGGATTGCTTTGAAATCGTTCAGTTTGTTAATAAGCAATTTCGTTAAAATTTTACAAAATATGAAATCGATAATAAAACAAATTTGGGCTTTCTGATGCCCGTATTCGCAGTAGGATCATGTCAATTAAAATTCGAAGACTCTAAGTACCGTTGTTTTATCTCAATGCGAGAAACATACATACTACATTTACTCAGATTCTTCATTATTTAATTTCCTCAAGTATAATACAGGGCGATAGTATTTGGTGGCAACGATTTGAAAAGTGGTACGCCGTTTAAAGAGCTCCGACGCAAAATCGCAAAACGAAAACCATTCTCCTTCAGAGACAAAGCCCATTTGGATTAAAAAGAAAAAAATGGGACAGTTCTATATCTCAGGTTCTACTGAACCGATTGTCGAAACTTAACTTACGTTTTCTATGTCTTGAAAGCGCGACTTAGGATATATATAATATTGGATTTATATATAGCATTGTTCTAACATAGCCATTTTGAATACAAAAATCGGAATTTTTCTGAAATAACATGCCAATTTTTTTCCATATTTCGATTCTATGACTCAAATTATGC